GGGGCAGCGCTGCCGGGCAGCCCGCCCCCAAAGCTGCTGGGAAAACCGCCCCAGGTGCCCCCATGGAGGTGCTCAGCCCCGGTGTGAGCAGCGCGGGGACGTCCTGGCCGGGCTACAGCTCCTGTCTGGCAGGAGGTGGCAGAGTGCGACCCGCGGGCAGGTCCCGGTTCCACAGACCCACCTCGGCTGAGCCCCGGGGGGACGGGGATGGCAGAGGCAGCTTCTTTCCCACCGTGGACTGCCGAGGCTGGCAGGGGTCTTCAAGGAGAAAAGTTCACCGTTTCCCCGCTCGGATCGGCCAGCGATGACCTCCGTGGGCTCCCAGCAGCTTCATGACACTGGCTAGTGGGCATTTCTGGTGCTAAAACCCTGTAATTTTTGAGACAGGCTGGGCCCCGCTTTTCTGGCGGGGAATTAAAGGAGGTGACCATTTCCAGCGGGGTCGCGTTTGCTTCTTTTCCAAGCAAAGTCGGCATCGGGGGCGATCCGTGGGGCATCTCCCCGTGCCAGTGCCCTGCCCTGGCTGCCGGAGCCCGGGGCATGCTGTAAGGGCTAAACCTGCTCCCTGCGTGCTGCCGAGGGGGCATCAAGGGCGACCCCTCGGTGGCATCGCAGCCCCCGTCCCAGGAAACGAGATGCTTTCTCCCCACCGCCGGCCGGGGAGCATCGCTCAAGCCGCGGGCACACGCCGCAAGCGTGGCCCGAGCCTGGCCAGAGGCATCCAGCTCCGCGCGTCCCCGAAGTTCTCTCTGGGCTCCGGACGGTGATGCCGAAGTTTTTCCTGCTTCCTTCCTGCTGTCGGCTGTAGCTTTGGCCTTTTGTACCGCAGGTCCCAAAGGTGTTTTCCACGGGGCGAGGGCCCAGCGGGTGGACAGGAAGGGGATGTTCTCAGGTCCTGCTGGGCTCCTTGGCTTTGGCTCCGCTATTAAGCTGGCCGGGTTTGGGACTGGCCCGTGGAGTAAACGTCCCCGTCCTTCAAAACAGGCTGTGGGGCAGTGCCGGTGACCCAGTCCCTCGCACGTCTCAACCTGTTAATAATGGCATAATTAGTGTCTTTAATTGCAAGCTAGATTAGCTGACCCATAGGGGCCTTTCCGCCTGCATTCAAAGGTTAAACGCAGCTGCAATGCCTGAGCCCAAACAGTGACGCCAAACCCTAATCCAAAAAAATAATACTGGATGTGAGCGCTTTTGGGGTAGGGCTGGAAACCTTGGCACCAGAGGCACCGGGACGGCAGCAGCTCCGCAACCGATTCCCGATTTCCCATGCCCTCAGCCTGGGCATAAAACCCAAGGCAGGCGGTTTTGGGGAGCCCTCGGGGGGCTGCCCGCTTTGGGGCTGAGTCTGCTGTGAGTCCTGAGCCAGGCCCCACGCAGTGCCGGTGGGGCTTTCTGGGGGCGCGGGGGCAAACGCCACCAACGTCCCCCGGCACCTGGCCCAAGCGGGAAGTAGCTCAAGAGGCTTCGCCGTGTTTGTCTTGCGGTTGCAGTGCTGGGAAAGGAAAATAAACCCTTTACTTGCAAATAAATCAGGGGAATCGGACCAGGCGGGGACAGCCGAGACAGGAACCCTCCGCCAGGTTGGTTTGTGCAAGCACACGCTGCGCTCGGGTTTTCTCCACCACCGCGGTGTTTGTCCTCCTCTAACACCGGCTCCTCCGGCGGGATGAGCCACGGAGCAGCCATTCGCGCCAGGGCCAGGATTGTGGGTCCCCGCAATGGGACGGGGGCTGAATGGGGAGCGTGGTAGCCCAA